CTAACAGGTAAGTTGGGTATGTAGCCTAGGCCTTTGGCCGTAGGGAATAAAGTCACGGACAGCCGTCTGACGTCCCAGGGGCAACTCACCGTGAAAATGGTAAAGTTGGTACTTAGTGCTCGCCATGGCTCTGGCCGTTAGTTAGTTAGTTAGTTAACTATAATAACCCTGGTTTCATTGTTACAGTATTGTATTAACAATATCATAACAAATCAGTATTATTTAACAATATTTTCTTACAACCATATAAAAATATAAATTATATAAGCTTCAGTTTAATATTCCCATACTTGTTTTTAAAGTTGTAAATAAAACAATAAAAAAAAAAAAATACCATTAGAGTATATTTTACAAGAAAATGCTATTTCAGATCTAATTCAATGTGTTACTTGCCATTTCTTAGTAATTATTAGTGAAAATTACAAGCAATTTCTCAGTGTATATTGTGTCAAAGCCAATTTTTTTCAGTGCAGGAAAAGTCTTTTAAAAACGTCCATTGATGAAATTTCTGACTAATGGCATTTTGAGTGTGTTTTATTAAAGTGTTTTATTCGACTGGAATCACCGTAACACTTTCATCTGTAACTCCAGCGGTTCCTCTTCATGTTTCATCCGTAACGTCTGCAAAAACAAGCGCGTTTTTGGCACATTTCTGCCTCCAAACTGGCAATCCAAACCCTGGCGTGTGGAAACGTGCCAAAATTCACTGTACGACCTTTAAACCTCACGTAAATAAACCTGTATCCTATTTATTTTGCATTTTGCAGACACTTTTATATCCAAAGTGACTTACAAAAGATGTTTTCTCAAAACGTGGCCCTTAAAAATGCAATATAATAAGCAGACAAGACAAAACTGCACCAGGAGAACAAATAAAAGATAAACATATTCTACAAAATTAAAAGGAAGGAAATGTGATTTATTCTGAATAAAACAGTTCAGTATTAATGTTTTTAAATATTCTTAACATAAAACATAAAATGACAAATTGTAATAATTAAACAAAACATTAATTCATTTTAATATGGTTTCTTTAAGTTAATTTTAAGTTAATTTAAGTTATAATAAGAAATAATAATAAAAATAAATATTCCACAAAATTAAAAGGCAGAAAATGTAATTTATAATGAATAAAATAGTTTCATATAACATTTTTTAAATATTCTTAAAACATAATGACAATTAATTATAATTAAACAAAATGTTACTAATTTTTAAATGCATTTTCAACTGTAATTAAAGTTTAATCAATTATGTTAATTATTGTAATTAGCAGATGCACAGAATAAATGTACAGAATAAACTCATATAATACTAGAGCAGCTTCATCACTAGTCATCACAAGTACTAGAGCTAGAACATCAGTGTGTCGTCCTTAAAAACAATGCTCTGCAGTGAATGGGTGCCGTCAGAATGAGAGTCCAAACAGCTGATAAAAACATCACAATAATCCACAAGTAATCCACAGCACTCCAGTCCATCAGTTAACATCTGGAGAAGACAAAAGCTGAAACTAATCCAGCATTAAGTCGTTTTTAACTAAAATACCATAGAGTTCATAATCCATAACTCTTCCTCCAGTGAAAAAGTGCATCTCCTGTTGTCTCTCACATCAAAATCCTCTACATGCACTTAAACTGAAGGCAACAGGAAGTGATGTCACTCAGATGTCCTGAGACGCCACAGTCAATCTCTTGAGGACGGTGGATATATTCTGATGGCAGATCAGTTTACAGGCTTTCCTCTGCCATCATGGCACCTTACACACACACTCCCACACTCTCACACACACAATCATGCCCTTCCCCCACGGCGCGTGAACACACTTACAGCGAGAAGCGCAGCGGCTTCATGGCGCTCGGCTCACTGCAACACTGAAAACACACACGAATCTCTCCAGACGGACTGCAGAACAGGGTTTGACTCGTGTGTCATAATCAGACACCAACAGTAATCTGAGCACGAGAGTCTCGTCTGCTTTCAGACCTTCACATCACTAATCAAAAACCACAGCTGACACCTGCAACTACTGATATAAAGCTTATATGTGTGTGTGAGTGTGTGTGTGAGAGTGTAAGAGTGTGAGTGTGTGAGTGTGTGAGTGTGTGAGTGTGTGAGAGTGTGAGTGTGTGTGTGTGATCCTGGCATGCAAATTAATTAAGATTGTATATGCAACAAATTAAACAAGATAAATTCTGCATTTAATATTAACCAAATATTTCATATAATTATTTTAAATATTAAAATATTGTATACAAGGTAAAAGTTAGCTTTTGATCCTCTATATTTTTTAAATATGGTTCTACATACAATCCGGGTCCTTTTGCCACACATAAATTGCAATTTATAAAGCAATCTTTTGCATGCAATTTGCAAAGTGAAATTTATAATGCAATTATTAACAGGAAAAAAAATCACTGAAGATTTGTTTGTTTTTTGACCTGAGTAACTAATAATGAAATCATGCAAATACAGTTCCATGGACGAAAAAAAAGATGGCCAGTAAATCTTCTCAAGTCTGATTGCATGTAAACAATATGTAAACAATAAATACACTTAAAAAATTATATTTACATTACATGCAGCATATATTGTCACATGACCTCATTATGTTTAATTCAGTGAGGAGTGTCCAGTTATCTTTTCAGACAAATCAGATAGAAACACACTCCAGTCATCTGAATAAAGACAAGATGATTCGCGTGAGGGTTTTGAGAAGTGAAACTCACACTTTTCATTTGCCTAACTTCAGTATGGCTCCAAAATAACACCAGCCAGTCAGACTATATCAGTATAACATCAGCTCATTCTAGCTCAAATCTGCCCGCTTAAACAGAAAAGGGACTACTTCTTCCTCAAAATCACTCATTTTATAAACCAGGTTTAAACAGATCCGACCGGAACTACAGATCTGCACCGTTTCTGAACCAAACACACATCAAACAGACTGAGACCAGCTCAAAACCACAACTGAACAGGTGTGAGCTCAGAAACACATCATCAGAGCCGAAACCGAACACGTCAATTACTGCGTCATCAACATCATGCTCCGTGGTGGATCTGATACTCATGATAACTGTCCAATAGCCTGGGATCATCTGCTGGACACATGAGCAGCTCATGCACCTCTAATAAAGTCTCTTACTCACTTTAACACGACTGAATCACTCACACATCAAGGTCACGGCCTCAGCGTGTTCAAACAGGAACAATACTCCAGAAAGAAGAACTAGTGACGGACTGATGAATCTGCTGATATCTGAAATTTTTCACTGGAAAAAACTATTTTTAAAGTGTTTGCACCGAATCATTAATGTGTCAATAAAAACAATCTGCTTTTAAATTTGCACAGTAAATTCAGAGAAAATATTGTAAAACGTGTACATTTTTGCTTTCACTAACACTGGATCCCTGCTTTGCCCATTTCAGTCAAACAATAATAGGCATATTTTTTGTCATTACAATTTTTTGTTTCCAAAACGCATCTGTCTTAAACATGCCACCCTACATAAACACACACACACTGATCATTGGCTGATCGATCAGCTCGATCAGAAGAGTTAATATCCGAGAGCTGCGATGCGGGCGCGTGAGTGACGCTCGCTAACGGGCTAGTGTGGTAGTTAGTTAGCTGCTGAGTTATCAACCGGAGGACTCGTTCTCGGCTCACAGCCGTCAGAGAGCCGCCGGACGCGTCGTTCACGCGAGCTCCTCAGCGATCAGAATCTGCGTGTGATCCGTGTGTAACGCGGCTGTGGCGCGTTGAAATTTCAGCACTTCCACACGAGTGACCCAGCGCCTGGCAACCGCACGCCCCGCCCCCCGCTGACCCGAAAGCTCCGCCCCCATGACAGACCCAGGCCCCGCCCCTACTGTAATCCTGCCTGTGCTGACTGATATACTGCAACATCTAATCAGGGGCCATTCATTGAAGACAAGATACACAAACACATTTCACAATCAAAACCTTTGAAGTTTGTACAGTCTGAATTCATAACAATAAAGTTCAGTGTCGAAAATGTAGTCCAAAAACTATTCTATCACTTTGCTGGTGTGAAATGTGGTTGCAAAAGGCTGTGCATCCTCTAAAATCACTTAAACACCAGCTTACTAAAAACATAACGGAGAAAAGTGAGTTAGTTCTGAGAATGCTATTTTAAGAGTGCAAAACAGCAATGAATCACATCCTTTCCCACTAGAATCATGTTTGTGACATAGTTTTGTGATGACGAGAGGTGAAGGAATGTCTGAGGTTCAGCTGTTACCCAATATATACTGAGGACTTGATCTAGTATAGTGATGGATCTTAGTTTCGCCTTAAAGGAATAGTTCACCAGAAATGTGTTCACCCTCAGATCATCCGAGATCAGGATGAGTTTGTTTCTTCATCAGGTTTGTAGAAATGTAGCATTGCATCAGTGTCTCAGCAATGGATGCTCTGCAGTGAATGGGTGCCGTCAGAATGAGAGTCCAAACAGCTGATAAAAACATCACAATAATCCACAAGTAATCCACAGCACTCCAGTCCATCAGTTAACATCTGGAGAAGACAAAAGCTGAAACTAATCCAGCATTAAGATGTTTTTAACTCAAATACAAGTCCATAATCCATAATAACTCTTCTTCCAGTGAAAAAGTGTTCTGGTGTGAATCGGGAGACAAATCTGCACAGATCAAGCAGCGTTTAAACCGCTCTAAACTAATATGTGGCTGGATTTTGATGAGAGGGACAACAGAAGATGCACTTTTTCACTGGAGGAAGCGTTATTATGGATTATGGAGTCGTGTTTTAGTTAAAAACGTCTTAATGCTGGATTTGGACTCACACACACACACACTCGCACACACACACACTCACTCACACACACACACACACACAAATCACACACTCACACACACACACACACTCGCGCACACACACAGACACACACACACACACACACACACACACACACACACACTCACTCACTCTCTCACACACTCACACACACACACAACACACACACACACACACACACTCACTCACTCACTCACTCATTCACTCACACACACACACCACACACACACACACACACACACACACACACTCACTCACTCACGCACGCTCACTCACACAACTCACACAACACTCACGCACACACTCACTCACTCTCACATGCACACACACACACACTCTCACACGCACACACACACACACTCACACACACACACACACACACTCACACACACACACACACACACTCACACACACACACACACACACTCACACACACACACACACACACTCACACACACACACACACACACTCACACACACACTCACTCACACACACACTCACTCACTCACTCACACACACACACACACAC